TCAATGAAAATCGCTAGAACCATAGTAAATAATTACAAGTCATGCCAAATAACAATGTGATTTCTATAAAACTGTCACAGGATTAATGACGTGTAAACCACTTTCTTCAGGGTGTTGCTAAACTGCGGAAACGGAATACGGAACGGAATACTGAACGGAAACGGAAAACGGTTATGTATTTACATAGGCATGTTTTATACAGTATATCACATGTTAACAAGAAAGAAAACAGAGTAATGAATTTAAGAAAAAAGATTTTAAAGCATAAAGTATTGAAATAATTGGCAGGAGATGATGAGACTATGTTTTTAAAATATTTGATAAGGGCATGCATATTGTACGTAATTGAATTGCGTAAACCACTGCAATTGTTCCATTGGTTCATTTATTTTATATTCTACTTGGGACCACGAACGTATGTCGTTCATGTGATTTATTTTTGTCTGCTTGAGTTTACTTATTTAAAAAAAAATGAATAATGATAATACAAAGAGAGGTTGGATAAACGTCAATAAGACAGTAACCCAACAACATAAAATAAAAATATACATAGATTATTAATTTCTAGGTTATGAGATGATTCGTACTGTTTAACTTTATAGTGCTTTTGAAATATGAACTTTATGAGATAAATTCCTTAGTATATGTTTTATACTCCACGTGTTTAAATGGCACACTACAATTTTAAAATAAGACTATAACTTCAATACATACATACATACATATCTTTATTTCATCAACGAATAAAATAATTTCAAGTCAAGTAACAAGTATGTTATTTATAAACACGTGGAGACCTAGATGAGATACACATACTCTTTATAACCTCTAGTTTTTTAAAGCTGTTATGTATTTCCAAAACTGTTTGCTATTTTCCTTGATATATCCTATCCTATTTTCAACATACTTGTTGTGTGATTTCGTTATTTCAGTCTTTATTGATTTTCGTGGTTCTCGCCATTTTTTTTTCTTCATATTCCGTCCAAATAAATATTTCTTTCCTTTTCCGTTTCCGCCTTTTAGCAACACCCCTTCAAGCAGACTCACCTATCCCAATGCCTAGTAAACCACGTCCAAGTAATAACATCCAGTAAGTTTTAGAAACTCCATTTATTATTGTAGAAACTGTAAAAACAAAACTACCAATTAACATACAGGGTCTTCTTCCGATTTTATCGCCAAGGTATCCAGTCATGAATGCTGTTATCATTGCTGTTGCTATAGTAACACTTACTAATACTTCTTGATCAAATGAATCTAATTCGAATTCTGTCCTTATAAAGAGTAATGCTCCTGAAACAACTCCGGTATCATATCCAAACGAAAAGCCACCGAGTGCTCCAAACACTGCTACAAAACATAAATAACATGTGAATTTAGAACTAGTATTCGTGGAGTCATATACGGTTTTACCATTATTATTTGTAATTTTGTTACTGGAACTAGTTGAAACTTTCTCCATTATTGATAACTTGGTTAAATCTCTGTTTTCGTGATATAGATAAGTCAGTTCAGATTTCACTATCTCAAGACTAAATATGGAAAGAGTTTCATGAATACATCAATAGATAGTTATTGATAATGGCCCTATACACCCTATTTCTATTATTTAAAAAAAAACTAGGAATAGACAAAGCAACGTGTAAGAATGACGGATACTCGGGGGTTTCTACAGAATAAACACCGCAGTCTTCCAGAAATACCTTTGTTACAATTTTATTAAAACCAAAATACTTATAAAGTTTGTATGAATATCTTTGTTCGATCATCAGTCACCATACTGAATAATCAGCGAAGTAATGTTTACATGAATATCTTCACTATTCGCGCCGTTAGTTTGAAATTACTATAAAAATATAGAAATTTATTCAGAAAAATCCTTTGTCCGATTCATTCTAGTTCAACTGTGACATAACAGCATATCAAAATAATGGAATTAAGTATTTTGGCTTGTAAAAAAGTCTTTGGATGCTTTATAGATATATATTACATGTTTTAATTATCCTTTCTATTTGGTTGACAGTTCTGACTTTTCGACTCTCTACACTACACTTTCACACAATCGTATCAGACAGAAGTTTTCGCCAAAATATTAAGTCATATACGACTAAAAGAAACATCATAGCACGAAGGCAATTCTGACGGTGCAACTGAAATAAAATAGAAAGATACACAACTTCAGTACCAAGAATCTATAACTCAAAACCATCTTATATATTTGAAAAGGTCTTGGTACTTTCCGATTAACTTTTTGAGAAAAAGGACGAGACGTTCTTTAACAAAACCCTTGCTCATTAGTTGTTTGCTTAGACACCGATGATGTTTTACAAAGTCTGAGTAGCAGCTGCTCTTGAATATCGTATGAGTTGACAAATGTATACTCCATACGCGGGTGAAGTTGGTATATTGCTGCTATGGTGAGGAAAATTTATATAATTTCAAAATTGAAATTGTCTCGTTTTTCATAGATTCTGGTACTGAGATGACCGCTGTTGTCAAATTCGAGGGAAATGTCTAGAAATGATGCAAAGGAAGCTGTATCTGTGTTTTTTTTTAATCTCTAGTTCTGGAGGATATCGTAATGGGATCCAAACAGAAAAGTTTTGATTGTTAATGGGAATGAACATCATCAATATACCTGTATGTGAAATTATATAATCTAGCTTCTTTGATCTTTTTGTTTATACAAGTGTCTGAAGGGACTCCGATTCATACGAAAATAAGAAAAGGTCGGCCAGGAGAGGTGCACAGTTGGTTCCCATAGGAATGCCGACAACCTGCTGGAAAATTATATCATACGCGGCTACAAATTTTTTGTTTTGGGATATAATAAAAACTGATCAGTTGTTCTTCGATGTAGCATGTTTTATTTTCTGGTTCATATTAACAAAATGTGTAGAATTATATCCCAAAACAATAAATTTGTAGCCGCGTATGATACCATTTCTATGGAGGAAAGCATTGTGGATTATTTCTTTGATATCGCTTACCGTCCCTTTCTTGATATCATGAAGTTTCCCACTTTTAGATTGTGAAGTTCCTTGAATTCTTAATTAGGCGTATATATTTCCATACTCGTTCATTGTGTCAGCCTGTGTCTGTAGTGATGTTTTAGATTTCAATGAACCTAACCTGTTGAGTCAGGGTTTTCGTTATCACATCTTGCTTTAAAACATTTACTGATTCCTTATAGATACAAAGATATTTTGTTTGGAAGTTTGGCTGTACCTGCAGAAATCTTTTTATATAAGGATAATCAAATCCTAATATGTTACGGTATAATTAGAGTTCGTTATTTTTTTAATAAGCTCATTCTTAAAAGGTATCAATTACACATTGTAGTAAGATCTTTGAATATTGTCTTTATTGGTACTATATGTCTCTATTGGCACTTACATTGGTATTATTTGTATAAATTCATTCATAACTAAACATGTATTCTTATCCAGGTATTCATACTTATGGTCCTATACATCCTGTCGATACTTATATTTTGACCTTACTCATGATCCTGCTTTTCTCAAGCTTCTTATGAAATACAAAATGTATTAGCACTTAATCGGTTCTTTGGGCAAAATAACGATCTGATGAGTCAATCCCTTTCAAACTAATTGTGCGTTTTTAAGTAGTGTTGTTGAACCACTGTCCCAGGACGGTTAGGGAAGGGTTGAGCTGTCGCAAAAATGTTAAAACCCGCCGCCAGTTATTGTCCAAAGACAGGAACCTGTAATTCAGTGGTTGTCATTGGCTACTCTATGCCATATTTGTTTTTCGCTTATTGTTGTAGTATATACGGTATGTGCTTTGCTCGTTGTTGGCGGCTGTACGGTGACATGTAACTGTTCACGTCTTTGTCTGTTGGTCTACGGATATTTGGCTTATTTTCAATCATATCACGCGCACATATCCTTATTTTTATACTGATGGAATTATTCTCTCATAAATGTGGGTCGTTAGGGTTATTCCAATGAATTTTGGTCATCTTTGATACGGAAAAGATCCATTTACCATTTTTATGTCATCATTTTATTATCCCCCACGCTATTCGGATATATTCGTGCACATGTTCACGAATTTGAACATGGTTTTCTTTTGTTCTTGGTTGCTTTCTCGTGTATGTGTTGGGGCCAATAGCACCCGAAAGGCATTCAAATGTTTTAAAAATGTTTTTTTAAGTAATAGAGAGTATTTGTTGAATGAGAGTAACAGACAAAAGTAAAAAAAAACGTCAAGATTTGTCATTTTTTATAATTTTTATTAGTTTTTTTGTTGTTTCCGCTTTTTCATGTTTTATTGTTGTTTTTACTTCTTCATGAGACTCTTTTTTCTGTGGATGTCCTGAAAATCATGACACGACAACTGTAAATAAGACTGAAGTACAATAACGTGGCGGAGGGTCGAATTATTATTTTACTGAAAAATATATCCTTTTTTAATCTTCCAGAATAGCCCGGTATTTGATTTACTTGCAATATGCAAAAGGGTGATGCACATGAAGGACCCTGGTTTACGCTTATTAAAAAAATCAGAATTTGAAATAGAGCTTTAACTGATCTTAACTAATTACATATAAATTATTATGTTACTTGTTGGTAAGACAAATGATAGAATTAAAATATATATGTTGTGCTCACTTTTTGTACTGTTTATCAGTTTACAACTTTGTCACCTGATTAAGAATGGCAACAATACATTTGTCACCATAGTTAAGGACAATATCAATGATAATACTGTTTCAAAGCAACGAACATAAAACCTGATTAGACATACCAAAAATATCATTCTGTCAATGTCGGTTATCATTTTTTTTTTATAATGAAAAATAAATTATACTGTTTACTCTCTCATACAGCTATTTTTTCCACATATAGACTTAGATTTTGAAAAAAATCTCGTAGTAAGTTTGTTTTTTATCTTAATTGTTGGATTGTTTCAGAGTTAAATTTCGCGATATTTGTGGCACATATCCGGGACTGTAGTGTTGAAAGTAGACTCCCCATTAAAAATTTCCGAATATGTGACATTACCAAAAGAAGATTTTCTTAATCTTCTGTTATATAAAGTTTTGGAACCATTCAAACAAGACAAATTAAAAGCTTTGATTTAAAGAATAGTTTATGATGTAAAAATACAGGTTTTAGTATGAAACATTTCTTTTAAATGCTTCAATATGAGACTAGCAGCTTTGCTGCCTATCCAGGCTATGGTCAAAGTTAGAAGTGTTCCGATAAATTTGGCGCAAAATTTTAAACGAACACTGACAATGCAATCGACAGCTAAGTGTAGAGGAGCTCTCATTGTATTTGAAGGATGTGACCACAGTGGCAAAACAACACAATGTAAAAAACTTATTGCAGCTTTGATTGAAAAAGGAATAAAAACGGAAGCCATGCGTTTTCCAGGTGTGTGAGTCGAAAATAACTTAAGTTTCCCACCATTTTTCAAATGGAGATTCGAGAATGATTGGGCAGCTAAATCTGAAAATTAGTCTGTGAATCCTAAAATGGAGTAGATTTTAGGAGCTTCTTTTTACCATAGAACACCCATTGATGCCACAAAAGTACAAAAATACAATAACACTATTAATCACTAGCCCATGCCAGAACATCAAAATTATACTTTGAAAAAACAAAACTGAAACAGAATTAAGCATGGCAGTGGCTACGATTACCCGCAAAAAGTAACAATAAGAAATAATTATTGTTACAGTGTTGAATTGGTAACCTTTGAGAATAGTTTATTTAAATGATTGATAAGTTTACCCAGATTGTATCTTATTTTACTGGCTCGATAAACAATATCACTGTAAAAAATTTGGATGTGCTATCCCGTTTGTGATAAGTTTTCTACAGGTACAGCCAAACTTCCAAACCAAATCTTTGTATCTATGAAAGAATTTAGTAAAGGTTTTAAGTAATTTGTGGTAACAAAATCCTTGACTTAATAATTTACCAGTAATACATAGATCACGTTCATTGAAATCTAAAACGTCACAACAGACACATGCATATCTAACAAGTTGGGGTATATAAACACTGTAAGATGTTGCCATGGTGGTAAGATGATTATTTCTATATGTAAAATTTAGGATGGCCTTATTGAGCTGTTTGAATTGTTTCCTTTGTAGACCGAACAACAACAATTGGTAAAATGATTGATGGTTATCTTAGTAACAAATGTGAAATAGAAGACCATTCAGTTCATCTTCTATTTTCAGCCAACCGATGGGAAATGGTGTAAGTTTAACATTTGCATGTTAAATTTTGTCAAGTTTCTATATTTTGTTTTACTAATTGCAATGGTTAAATAATAACTTAAATTTGTACAGTAACAATCATGACAATAGAAATGAAGAAGCATTGTTATACATGTACTTCTTATTAAATAAATAAAATATATATATATTCAGATTTCTTTTTTTAAGTTATATGTTTGTCTCTATATAATTTTTACAAACAAGGTATTGCATTTTTAATTGTGGTCAATTCCAATAGGCACCATAATATTTCTGTTTAATGATCATGATCATAATGTTAAAAGTTGTATCAAACATGTATATACAGTGTCAGTAATGTCCTCCATTTAAAAAAAGAATCTGGAAATAAAAAAAGTCATTTACCAGATAGAGAAACTAGCTGATTACTGTCATTTCTTGATTAAATTTGACTCCTATGTCCTTTAACCAACATTGTTTTATCACCAATGATGTGTGGATGTAAACAAGTAGGAAAATTACATGTAAATATGATTACCCATTTGAGCACAGGGAAAATTAAGGCAGTCAGACCAAAAGGTTCATGTTCTTTGAAATAGCAGTCTGGAAACTAAAGTTGAGAGGATTTTCAATACACTAAAGTAACAGGTTATTACAACAATTTATCCTGTTAAGATCATTTATTTTGTGATATGTTTAGAAATTGACCTTTTGTTTCTGAAATAAAGGAGTTCAAACAGAAATTGATTGAGAAAATAAGCATGAAATTGATTTATTACACATGGGAAGCCATATGTGTATATACATGTAAGTTTACCAGAGTAAAATTAAAAATACCTTGTTGACACAATTTCTGACGATATTATTAAATGTCCATGAATATAAGCCAAAATTAGTTGAATCTACATTACAGAAAACTTGTACATTTATTTCAGGCCCAAAATAAAATCCAAGTTAGAAGCAGGAATTACATTGATAGTGGACAGATATGCCTATTCTGGTGTGGCATTTACAGCAGCTAAAGAGGTTAAGTAGTTACTCTGTTAATTTAATTCAAACATGCAACTGTAAATTAAGATCAAACATGCTATAGTTTCAATTATTATCTCAAAATTTGGTATGTAGACACATACATGAGTACATATAAACTTTGGTCATTATGTCATTAATATTTTTGTGGGGGTTTCGAGTTATAAATTTGTTTTCTCAAAAGCACAAAAATAGTTTTTTGTCTTGTCTGCGACTTTCGTCACAGAAAGCGAGACAGGGATTGCTCTTTCGGCAACGGCATCAACAATTGTTAAGTTTTCTGCTTAAGTTAGTTTGATAGGAACTTCTTGTGATAGATCATTGATATTTAATCTAAAGTTGCGTCACTATCAGTACATATCAGTTTGACGACTATTTCAAAGCACTGCCCCCCCTAGGTCATGGTCCAGCGACTTTAAATTAATTAGCAATTTTCAGTGTTAAAGGTTTTCTGCTTAAGTTAGTTTGATAGGAACTACTTTGTGATAAATCACTGATATTTGATATAAAGTTGCATTACCATTGGTACATATAAGTATGACAATTATTTCGACGCCCTGTCCCCTAGGTCATTGTCCAGTGACTTTGAATTAATTAGCAATTTTCAATGTTTAGTTTTCTGCTTAAGTTAGTTTAAGAGGAACTACTTGTGATAAATCAATGATATTTTGTATGAAGTTGCATTACTATCAGTTCATATCAGTTTGACGACTATTTCGAGGCCCTGCCCACTAGATAATGTTCCAGTGACTGAATTAATAAACCATGTTGCTGTCCATCAGATTGTCTTTTTCTGAATTTTATGCTGACAGGCGAGACATCTTTGTGTCAGCTTTCCAGTTATAAATTTGTTTTCTTTAAAGCAGAAAAAAGCTAGTTTTTTAATTCTAAATAATGAAAATCTAGTAACAAAATGCATCTTATGTGTAAACATTTCATAATATTTCAGTGACTTTTATGACATTGGCAAAATAAGAATTATTTATAACAGGGGTTCGACATAAATTGGTGTAAACAGCCAGATGTTGGTCTACCCAAACCAGACAGAGTTATCTACCTTACATTAAGTACAGAAGAGGCAGCAGCTAGAGGAACATTTGGAAAAGAAAGATATGAACAAACAGAATTTCAACAAAAAGTCTCAACAAATTTTGAAAAGTTGAAAGATCCAACATGGCAGGTAATATATTTTCATGTGCTGGTAAGCAGCTATAAATTTGAATTCCAGATTTTCTCCATTTATATTATACCAATGCTACCAACAGAAGAACGAAAGCAGTGTTTTGCTTGTGTCTATGATAGCTTTTCATCTTTTAAAATTAATTTTTGAATTTCAGTCAGACTTACCTCATGATCAGTTATGCTCTTCATACTGTATTTTAAGGCCACAATTAAAAGAATCTTTGTTTCCCCACACCTCGACCCAGATTTTATGCTGGTGGGTCGGTAGGTCGTTTTTTTTTGTGTATTTTTTTGAAAATGTATTGTCAGACATATAGAAACCTAGCTGCGGGACAGTAGCTCTTAGGTCCCAATGAAATTTCTTTATTTTTGAGGACCATAGGCATAGAGCTACAGATTTCCTTTGTTCCAACTTTCGGTATGCGACCTAGGTTCAGGTCGCATTTATTTGCAAGAATTTCATTATTTTCCACCTTTACGTAGCTCGTACCTATCTATGTTTGGATATTCATATCCTTGACACAATCATTTAATTATTTCCGTTTATTTATTTCTATGTCTATTTCGTTCAGTTTTTTTGGGGGGGCTTTTTGAATTAAAGTATATTTAATGAATGATAATTACTAATGGAAATACTATATATAAAGTATACTTCGCAGTAATTTTGTGTTTATAAGTGTTCCAAAGAAATAAAATCACACGATTCCTACTATCCAGTTAATCGTAAACAAACCAACACATGTTATCTTTTCATGGAACTTTAATGACATCACGATGAAATTCAATATGGCTGAACGAAATAGAGGGAGAAATAAACAAACAGAAATAATTAGTTGATTGAATCAAGATTATGAATATTCAAACATAGATAGGTACAATTGCAGGCCAATACACATTAAGTGAGAAGTCAAATCCGGATAGCTATTTCCGGAAATCAGAGATCAGATGAAAACAAATTTTTTTTTTAGAAAGGACCCAAATTTTTTTTGAGTCAGCAACCTTTTTTCCAGTAAGTCGGGGTGAGGGGAAACAAACCTATTTTTTTATTTTGGCCTAATTTATACATATACAGTGATATCCATTCTCAAAATCAGCTACTCAAAGACTTGATTTTAGATCATCTCTAGAAAGACCAACTTCCAACCAATTTTTACATCTTAAGATGAGCATGCATCTACCATGCAAAGAGAAAGGTGCTAACTGCTTGCTTTGCTTGCTAAAAAGGGAAGTCCCACTAAAATAGTGTGATCTTTGCCCTTCAAGAAAGCATTTGAATGGGGACATGTCTATTACGTACATAGCTTTTGATGCAGTTAGAGGTTTAAATGCTCTTGATTTCAATCTGCTGTAGGCATGTGGATCTATAAGTGATACATGTGTATATATATTCAAAAATACCCAATACAATTTAGAATTATATTTAGAGTGTGTATGTCTATGATTGTGTATTAACAATATTTATATGAAAACCTTAAATTATGTATAAAGAAAAGAGATACATGTATTAATAGAAATAATGAACTCCAAGGTAAATTAAAAAAGTGGAAGTTCATAAAGCTTATATATTGTTACAAGTTTATATTATTTATTGTAGGAAGTTGCAGCTGACAAGTCTATAGAAGACCTACACAGAGAAATTTTAGTTATTACTAAAAAAATTATTGAGGAATCTGGTGATAAACCTTTACAACAATTATGGTCAGATTAATAGGCTTTAATATTTGTTCAGGTTGCAAAAATATAAAAAATCATGTTTATAGGATATTTAATGTTGGATGGACAGGATGGGACAAAGATAGTATCTGTTTTGTGTTTTTCATCTTTCTGTAATTAAGCATACCCCATAAAGCGATTTGTGATGTGGCTTCTTGAGAAAAAAATAAAACTTTTTTCAGTCAAAATAAAAATTAATTTCTTTGCATACATTAACAACAAAGTATTTACACCTTTATTTTAATGGTCCTCTGGTCTTAAAATCAACACAGATGGTTAAGCTCAGTCACTTGTTAAAAATTGAAAGATGTCCAATATCTCTGCATAGATGTTTTGTTTACATATTATATTTGAGTACCTCAACTTGAGCCTTAGGTGCATTAGGGATATTGACCCATCTATGTGTACATATTTATATAATCTTTGCAGATTTTCCTGGTGGTGAAACTTAGTCAATTTAATCAGTATTCTAGATGAAGGGTATCCATTTCATGTTACCAAGCTTCATAGATATAGGAAGATGTGGTATGAGTGCCAATGAGACAACTCTCCATCCAAGTTACAATTTATAAAAGTAAACCATTATAGGTCAAGGTAATGCCTTCAACACGGAGCATTGGCTCACACCGAACAGCAAGCTATAAAGCGCCCCAAAAAATTACTAGTGTAAAAACATTCAAACGGAAAAACCAACGGTCTATATATATATAGCTAATCTATATAAAAACGAGAAACGAGAAACATGTTTACAACTTAGTCTGCAAACTTCTAAAATGTTTATATACACATTATAAATATGCCCCTCACATTGTATACATATTTTGATGTTTTTGCAAATTTGGAGATATCTTAGTATTGCAACCCAGCAATTTAAGTCTTTACCTCATCTATTCCATTATAATGTAGTATATAAATTATTCTAATTATTCAATTTATTATAACCATAAGTTATTTAGTCTGATACAATAAATGTTTTCTGTGATATTGTGTATGATCTTATGCTGATTACATTATTATACTTCATAATAAATATTTTGTAGAATTGTATTGTTAACTATACTTTATATTTGGCATGGTGAAGGTTCAGATATTCTTACATACTGCAATTTAATCAAACAATTTAATTTGCATGGAATTGTCTTACAGGGATCTTGACCTAGATGTTTATATATATATTTCCCTCTCTCCACATGTTGCAACAAACTGTTTGTACTTGTACTTACTAAAATTGAAAATGATAGCAGAGTTTGGATGGAGTATTATGAATGATGATACTTTAGCCTGTGACAGGGATGGGCACGATTACTAACAAATATAATTGATTGATAATCGATTATTTGAATGTTTTTTGTGTAATCGATTAATAATTGATTACTCAGATTTCTGTATGTAATCGATTGTAATCGATTACTTTATCAAAAGTAATTACATTACTTTTCGATTACTGTCTATTACATGCTACAAAAATATAAAAACATAAATAAAGAACTTTAAACACAATTATGATGCTTAACCTATTTATAGTGGAAATGTAGATCTTTACAAAAAACAGCATTTAAAGCTTTGTTTCCACATTATGTTTTGTTTAAAGTTTTTTCTAGATGGAAGCTCTAAATGAGGATCCAAGATATTTAATTTTCAACATGAGTGAGTGGTAGTTTTGAGTCCTTTTCTCCATATTTTGCAAATTATTGCTGTCATACAAGCTTAAGTTTGGTTTTTAGTTTTTATTCATTATTAACCGGTATATTTGAATATTACAATGTTGGAAGTTTCCTCTGAATATCAAAATATAAAAAAAATAGAATAATTAGTTCAGCTTATTTTAAGGAATTAAATCTATAATTTATAATTACATACATGAATTTACCCTTTTGTTTGGATAATCTCCATAATTACAGGTTATAAAACAGTCAAAGGAGTTCACTTTATAACCTGGTACAATATAATGTAAATCTCTCACCTAATTTGATATAATTGAAATCAAAACAAAGTCTGCATCTCATTGATTAGAAGTCTTTGATCATCTGATTAGTAAAGACAAGAAAGTTGTTGAGAATTCTTTATTCTCGTTTCAAAATTATTAAACAATATATATTTTTATTGTGAAAATGGGATACACGTATCTATTACTGAACAAGATTTTTAATGCATTGGTTCATTTTCAAAAGGATTTTATATACTTTCTGAATTCTTATATCATAACATTACGATGAATCAATGGTTTATCTATTCTAAGCTAAAACTCCAACTCTAATTAAAAATTATGCTTTAAGGAATTTTAATACAAATAAGCTTACTATTTCAATGCAGTACATAACTTAACTTAAGACGATTTTCATATTTTTATTCTATTTTTTTTTGTTTTTAATTAATTGGTCATAAATTTTTGACAAGCATTGAAATTGATTTGTTTCAAAAGCTGGAAATACAGTAAAATTTGTTAGATCTGGTTGAAAATAATGCAGCTTGAGACAACAGAGTTGAACAGACCTGAATAATGCCTTTGATTAATTCTCAAGTCATATTAATACATTCTATTTTATCTGTACTGTTAACTGATGAATACATGCAGTTGTCTATTTTCATTTAAACTAGGTTATATTTCATCAAACTATTTTACTAAAGTAATCGAAATGTAATCGAAAAGTAATCAATGATTACATGCTATTTTTTGCTGTAATCGATTAAATTACAATTACATGTAATCGAAAATGTTGTCAATTACTTGAAAAAATGTAATCAATTACAATCGTTTACGATTACAGATTACAAATACCCCATCCCTGGTCTGTGAAAAAATATTTATTTATTAGTTGTAATTGGCCTTGAACAAGCTTTCTGCAACTGCTACTACTCTTATATATCTGTACTTTGTGTCTATTGTTTTTGTCGAGCCTGCGACTTTTATCGCAAAAGCGAGACATAGCGATCCTTTATTCCGTCGTCGTTGGTGGCGGCGTCCACAAATATTCACTCTGTGGTTAAGTTTTTGAATTTTAATAACTTTCTTAAACTATCCTGGATTTCTACCAAACTTGGACAGAAGCTTGTTTATGATCATAAGATAGTATCCAGAAGTAAATTTTGTAAAAAAAAAATCCTGTTTATCTGTATTTTACTTTAAAATGGACTTAGTTTTTCTGCCAGTTAACATTGCATTCACTCGTGGTTAAAGTTTAAACATTTTTAATAACTTTCTTAAACTATCCTGGATTTGTACCAAACTTGGACAGAAGCTTGTCCATGTTGTTTATGATCAAAAGCTAGTATCTAGAAGGAAATTTTGTAAAAATTTATTTCCTGTTTTTCTGTATATTTCTTTTAATTGGACTTAGTTTTTCTTCCAGTTAACATTACATGATCTTACATACAGTCTGCAGTTAAAAGATTTAAAACATTTATTAGATTCATAAACCATCCTGGATTTTTACCAAACTTTGACAGAAGCTTCTTACAATCAAAAGATAGTATCTAGAGGAAAATTTTTAATAATTTTTTCCATATTTTTGTTGAGCCTGCGACTAACAGCAAAAGTAGGCGAGACACTGGGTTTTGCGGAACCCTTACAAATTTTTATTGTGTTAGTTGGTGTGCTTGTGCTTGTGCTTGCTACCGATTTATTGAGTTGAGCCTTTGGTAACTGATTTTTTACAGTTGGTTCATATGTTGTGCTGTTGACAACCATACCAAATCTCATTTTTTTGATTGGATGATTGGTGTTAGAAGTTTGGTTTGAGTAAATAAATTACAAATTTTGAGAAACATCTTTTTGTGCTAGAATTTCAATGAAAAAATTATATATGGGTATAATATGCTATTCCAAATTTATTGCAGCTGTCAAAAGTTTTGTGCATATTATTTTTTTCTGAAAATTGTTTTTGGTAAAAAATTATTTTTTGTTGAAAAATCACAAATGTTTAATAGGAATACTTATTCAGTCTTCCAAAAAAATGTGAAGACTCTAAACACAGTTTTTGTTTCGCCTCAACAAAGTCATGCAGGCTAAACAGGCTTGCTGTTTCCTGTGGTAGCATCAACATTTTGTTTGTTATTATGTCAGATTAAACTCAAGTGGAACCACTAATGGTAAGTCAATGGTATTTGGTATGTAGTTGTATTATCATTGGCAAATCTCATTTACGGTCTATTGACTGAAAATTTTGCATAGTTTACTTGTTAAAAATTGTGATTAGGTCACATATTTTGGTTATGAAATCACTTTGTCTAAGGTCAAGGTCATAGTAACTATAAATAGACCAAAATTTGTGCAGAAAAGTAGTTTCCAGTTGCTTTATAAATATCAGATTGCAATCTTATTTGTGTGTCGGGATAACTTCCCTAGATAATTAGCAAGCCACGAATGGTGTAGCATGTGAAGTACTTCTTTAGCTCAGTAGGTTAGAGTGCTGATTTACGACACAGGTCCCCGAGGTAACAAGAAATTAGAATATAAACTTTAAGTATAAGGGGAGACAACACTTAACACCTGTTTTTTATGCCCCACCTACGATAGTAGAGGGGCTTTATGTTTTTCGCTTCAGGTTAAAATTATTGGTCAAGGTAGTTTTTGATGAAGTTGAAATCTAACCAACTTGAAACTTAGTACACATGTTCCCTATGATGTGATCTTACTAATTTTAATGCCAAATTAGAGTTTTGACTCCAATTTCACGGTCCACTGAACATATAAAATGATAGTGCGAGTGGGGCACATTCTTGTTTAGGTAGTGAATAGACTATTTTCATATTACAGTCTTTTGACTCTGGGGTATATAATTTTTCGACAGGTTACCTACTTTGTGGTAGAACATTCTTGTTCTTGGTCAAGTAAGAGCAACTAAAAGAAGTAAAATCAAGCTTACGGTCAAAAATGAACTGTTTACTGTTTTTCAAACACAACAAAATCATTGGAAAACATTTAATATTTTCCCCCAAATTGGTACTGGCTACGGTTACATTGAAATGTAACAATAATAAAAAAGTTATTGTTACATTGGAGACAAATTGCCGAAATGCAAGGTAAACCGTTGTGTAAGGAACCGAATAATTACGAATGTAACAATAATATTTGTGTCTACGGATACGTTGTGTTATTGTTACGTTAATATGGCGTACGGAAAGGGTCAAAAGTAAATTATTTCGCATATGCTACAGTTAATACAGCATATGCTATATAAACTACAGCTTAAGCTATAATTTATGTACCCTATGCTGTAATTAATGTCGCTTAGGCTATAATATATAGCATATGCTGTAATTTATACAGCATATGCTATAATTAATACAGCATATGCTTTATTAAATGCAGCCTATGCTGTAATAAATAGCATATGCAGCTTAAGCGTCCAGTTGACGTACCATAAGGGTCAAAAGAAAATACAGATTACGCTATAATTGTTGAAACATGTACATTATTTACATTTAAGTTATAACAGTCCCGAAAGGGTCAAAAGTAAATGTAGCATAAGCTGTATTGTGCCATATGGTTATAAGGTGGGGTTACTGTCAATCACAAATGATTCTATTATATATTTACTGTCAATCACTCTTCAACTTTGAAGGCTTTTTCACAAATTAGGATAACGCCCATCAGAACCACATTTTGTTAAGGATGGGTGAAAATTAAAGAGCATTTCGATTTAAGTAATTGATAGTCGAGTTCAGAGAGTTAATGAAATATTCGGAATATTTACATGAAATTATATCATGCTTATCTTAGAATTATATTTAAGGTAGCACAATACAAAAGCAACTAAATTTTATCAAAATTTAATTTTCATCTGTTTTTGTTACTTCTTTTAACAATTAATGTTGCTGATGTTTATACTAGAATTTCTTGGGGATAATGTAATAAATATGAATTCTTATTAAAAGAATTAAATATTTCATTTTCAAACTGCAAAAATAAAAAAAAATATACTTGGAGTAAAACACCATATTGTCATTGTACTATACAATATATATTTCTAGAAATCCCCCATAAAGATCATCTAAACTGACCGACTGATCATTTTGTATACACATGCGTAACTTACTTTTTGTAA